GCACATTTATTTAAGAAATGGCTATAGACTCCCAATTTGTGTGCAGGAAAGTTGATAAACTGTCGGTGTGACATATGCAACTAAGAGAGTCAGAAAATGAAAATTTTAAGAGATCTAGTCATTTAACTGAATTTGAATAGTAGAATTGAAAGTGTAGCCGAAACCGGTTTGGCTCAATGGATAGAACGTTGGCTTGGGGACTAAAAGGTCCCGGGTTTGATTCCGGTCAAGGGCATGTACCTTGGTTGCAGGCACATCCCCAGTAGGGGGTGTGCAAGAGGCAGCTGATCGATAACTCTCATTGATGTTTCTAAGTCTCTATCTCTCTCCCTTCCTCTCTGTACAAAATCAATAAAATATATATATTTTTAAAAAAGTATAATTGCTAGTACTGGAGAACTGTTTATGACCATAATTGGAAGGAGAACTCTTATGTTAAATCACAAGCAGTAACACCTGGGAGAGGCTTGTGTAAGTGAGACTAAAGTCTGATTCAGGACTTCAGAAAATGTAAATTAAAAAATATAAACATAGACATTTTAAAGATTTTTTTTAAAGGACCTAAAGAATATGGATTTACTTATTCATACCATAAATTCTCTTTCTACTTCTGTTAATGAAATTGCCAACAGGCCGAAACCGGTTTGGCTCAATGGATAGAGCGTCGGCTTGGGGACTCAAGGGACCCAGGTTCGATTCCGGTCAAGGGCATGTACCTTGGTTGCGGGCACATCCCCAGTAGGGGGTGTGCAAGAGGCAGCTGATCGATGACTCTCATATATATATATATATATATATATATATATATATATTGATTTTATACAGAGAGGAAGGGAGAGAGATAGAGAGTTAGAAACATCGATGTGGGAGAGTCATCGATCAGCTGCCTCTTGCACACCCCCTACTGGGGATGTGCCCGCAACCAAGGTAAATGCCCTTGACCAGAATCGAACCTGGGACCCTTCAGTCCCCAAGCCGACGCTCTATCCATTGAGCCAAACCGGTCTCGGCTCAATAAAATATATTTTTAAAAAATTGCCAACAGTATGCATAAGAGATTTGTCATGTGTATTTTTGATTTTTGAAAATTTAACATTTCATTGAAACATGTTATGTGTCAGCATGGTCCAGGGGTTTGTTAAGTAGGTTTAAATCATCTCTTGTGGGGAAGAGAGGGCAAGTGACAGAATTAAGTAACATGGGCAACGCAGCCATCCTCTATTCTGACATGTAAAATTCAAAATATGCTACTGCTTTTAATACATGTTGTTCTATTGTTAATATGTAATGGTGTTCTTGATTACTATAATGTAATTGGACATTTAAGTTGCTTTAAATTGAAATTCCAACAAAATTCTTCTAGAAAGTTAAAGACTAACTTTATATTCTAAATTTAATAGGAAAATATTTAACCAGAAATAGAGAGTTACTAATACACTCGCTACATTCCGGTTTTGAAATTTACTCTTTAAAACTCAACATACACAGTACACTGATGAAACCCTAGCTGAAGGCTCTGCACCCTCTGACTTGCTCATAGGCAGGCTGCCCTTTGCACACATCCCTCGTGGAATGACACACTTAATGCCAAATGAGCCAGTGGAGGCAAGCACGGGGCTCTTCCTGCACGAACAAGGGCACTATTAAGCTACAAGGACCTATTTTATTTATTTATTTATTTATTTATTTATTTATTTATTTATTTATTTATTTTTACCAATTTCTTAAAGATTTTACCAAGAGCAGCTGCCTTTAGGACAGTCATCTTAGAAATAAAGGGTTTATTTGTAAGTTCACCTTGCTCTGAGGAGGCTTGGATCTTTCTTTTGGAACAGCTTTCATATTTTCTCATGAAAACTTTTCATTCCTTTTACTCAAAATAGATTTGGCTTCCTTTACCAGATTTGTCTCTGAGTAACTTCCATTTTAAAAATCAAACTCCTCTTCAGTTGATTTCTTAGCATTGGCAATCTTACAAACACCCCACAAACTCTTTAACTGAGGTATGTGTTCTAAAGGTTCTGCACAATGGAACCACCATAGGTGTAAGAATGCCACCTCTGCCGAAACCGGTTTGGCTCAATGGATAGAGCGTTGGCTTGGGGACTGAAGGGTCCCGGGTTCGATTCCGGTCAAGGGCATGTGCCTTGGTTGCGGGCATATTCCCGATGGGGGGTGTGCAAGAGGCAGCTGATCGATGACTCTCTCTCATCGATGTTTCTAACTCTCTATCTCTCTCCCTTCCTTTCTGTACAAAATCAATAAAAACATTAAAAAAAAAGAAAAGAAAAAAGAATGCCACCTCTCACGGTGACGTGGAATTTCCATAATGCCAGCGCCAAACCAAGACAAACTTCCACGGAACTACAGCTATCTCCCATTCAGACACACGCAAGGCTGCCTGGGTACGATTCCAGTCCGGCCACTTGCTAGCGGAGGCCCTGGGCTTGTATTAATTAACCTGTCTACAACTCAGTTCCTTCACCTGTGAACTAGGAATGATAACACTACGCACACCTCAGAGGGTGGTTTTAATATGTAAGTAAATTAATCCGACCCAGCCTGTGGAACATTGTTTGACATGATCAATGAAAGTTAGCTGCTATTATTTATTATTGCCATTATTAAAGAACTTAATTATGATAATGCAAGGTAAATTTCAAGCCAGAAACTCAAGTCAATAGAAAAAAAGGATATAAAGATACTTTCCTTGTTGTACATTTGACAAATTCCAAACTTCGTCATTAAGGAACGCCACCGTTGCTCCCTTGAGGAAGAGGCAGTGGCTATCTGGAGGGTCCAGCTTGGACAGAATGCACAAAAACTAATCAACACTGAGATTAACAGCAGAATGAGGACTAATATCTTGAGCCAGAAAAATTCCACACCAATTAAATAATACCCAAATCATAAATGACCAGCACACAAACTTAATAACAACATGTGAATCATGTTTCCATGAATCATGTTGCATTTCATTCTCCCAAATGATGAAACAGCAAGATCAGATGCAAGGCCAAACCAGAATCCTGATGATGGAGAAGTAGAGTGTGTGTGTGTGAGATTCCTGGCTGTTACTTCCCAGTCGTTTTCATGAGGATGTCAGAAAATCATGAAGACTGGTATATGAAAATTATGGCATTTGCATATCAACCATGATAAAAATATTTAATTTCAATTCTGTTAAGAAATGTACTTTTGGGAGAAGTGTATATCCTATCCTATATGATAAAAGTCTAATATGCAAATCAATCAAATGGCAGAACGAGCGGTTGCTATTATGCACACTGACCGCCAAGAGGCAGATGCTCAACACAGGAGCTGCCCCTGTTGGTCAGTACGGACAACAGGGGGCCTGCTGCTCAGCTAGAAGCCAGGTCTCTGCTGGTAAGTGCAGCGGCAGGGATGGGAGCCTCTCCTGCCTCGGAGCAGTAAGGAGCAGCGAGGAGGCGGGTGGTAAGGAGCTAGCGTCCTGGACTGCAAGAGGGATGTCTGACTGCCGGCTTAGGCAGACATCCCTGAGGTCCTGGACTGCGAGAGGCTGCAGGCCGGGCTGAAGGACCCACCCCCAGTGCACGAATTTTGTGGACTGGGCTTCTAGTGTGTGTATATATGTGTGTGTGTGTGTGTGTGCGCGCACGCACGCGCGCACACACACATATACATGTATATATGTGTATACAAATACATATATACACACACAATTATAGCATATTCCAATTAGAGCATAGTTAGGAAATTGTGATAATTTTGTATAGAAATATTTTGCTAAGTATATGTCAATGTTTGTTACTAAGAAAAAATCCTCACTCTGGCTTGGTTGGTTGGAGCATTGGCCCATACACCAAAAGGCTGCAGGTTTGATCCCCAGTCAGACACATATGGGAGGCAACCAATTGATGTTTCTTTTTCACATCAATATTTCTCTCTTTCCCTTCCTCTCTCTCTCAACTCAATAAAAAAAATAAAACATATCCTTGGGTGAGGATTGAAGAAGTCCTATTTTTGAAATAGTAGTAAGTTCAGAAGTCACTGCTTCCAAACTACTAAATAAGTTAAAGGAACCTCTGGGAGGCACTGTTTCAACATTTTGGCTGACATGGAACCAAAGTGTAAAAACTACCTTTCTTTAAAAAGTAGGGTATACTTCAGAATTCACACAAATTTAGCAAAAGACTCAGGCATTATTCCCTGTCCGCTGTGCGCTTCTGGAAGAATAGTCACCTTTCCTGTTTCTGGTCATACCTGCAGGTTTTCCTCTGTCGTCACCCAGTGGCCTCCGACACCCAGGAGTGAGAGGATGTCATGCTTCTGTGGCAGGAGTTGTGATTTTACAGCTGGTTCATCGTCTTTACTATATAGTCTCACTTACGAGGGAATAGTTTAAAAAGAAGAGAGAAGAGAAATATATATCTTAGTCATCTGATAAAAATTTATTCTTCAAACAAGTTCTCTTTACTTTTGAATGTAGGGATGAGGAAGCATTTTTTAAGAAAGAGTCAACACAATGTATTCAGACACCTTAAAGATATAGTTTTGTATTATAAATGGTCATAAACTCCAGATTTAATTATACGTGAAATAACCAAAGATAGAAGTGTTTTTTGCTGGAAACCAAATCAGTTTCACTGAAAAAGAGATGTTGACAGGAAGCCAGGAAGGCTGATCAACAACCTTAATTGCTCTAACCGTTAGTTGAGATTTTGTTAGCTGAAGCAGAATCTACCTTGTCCGTGAAAGTTTCTGCTATTTCCTGCCTAAGGGCTACATGTAAATGTCTGTTTATGTTGCCTAATGTTTTCCCCAAAGCCTCACTAAAAGGGGTGGCAGGGCCAGAGCAGGAGTAGTTCTCCCACTAGAGTTGGACTACCGCCTGGCCCCCCAAATCGCCAAATTGAATTTCTTCAAGTCTCTTTTCATTTGTGTGCGGCCCTTCTCCAGAACCTGAACCCTGAATTGGAACTCTTTCCATGCGGGCCGTGAAAGAGAGTCCTATAGTTTTTCACCCCTAGCTGGGTTGGCTCAGTAGATAGAGCACTGGCCCTTGGACAGAGGGTCAAGTGTTTGGTTCTGGCCAAGGGTGCGTACCTCCGCTGCAGACCCCCAACCAGGCGTGTGTGGGAGGCGACCAATGGATATGTCTGTCTCACATGGATGTCTCCCTCCCTGTGTCTCCCCCCCTTTCCTTCCACTCTCTAAAAACCAATGAAAATATCCTCAGGTTGGGATTAACAAAAAACAACCAAAAGTAAAACAACTACAAAGAAAGTCTTTTTTTCATTTGAGAACCAGGCAAGGTCATGTAACAGGTAACTAAGTCTGATGGTTTTAACCGTAACTTCAGTTGCTTGATACTTTGGGAAAAGTTGACCTCTGATTAAGGAATGCATAAATTCAAGATGGTCATACTTTGACATAATTATTGAAATGCCAACTTGAAAAGCTAACGAAAGTATACATTCGCTTCCACTGAAAGGTTTTTTGGTAGTTAATTTAAAATCCTGAAATTCTGGCAAATAGAAACACATACGGTGGCCACATGCAACTGTATTCACCTATGATTCTCACAGCAGAGGACAAATTCTAATGAAGTGTATGCAGAATGCCTTTGCAGATTGTAAAATCTACACGACCTAACTGTACAATTAGGTGCTAAACAACCAAACTGCACAGCGGGTGAAAGTGGAACAGAATTATCTTCGTTTTCCAAATAGACACTGTATGTCACCCATCCAGTAGAGGGCTACATATAGCAAAGTGACTGAATAAGCAGCTGGCTGAGACTAGACTACTGTGCATCATGTAGACCGTGGACGAGATCATGCTTGTAGGTTCTTGTAGGGATACTTCAGCTCTAGTGCCTATGCTCTCTCTTCCAGACAGTTTACGGGATAAAACAAAGAAATGCCAATTTGAATATGAAAGTTTAAAAGAAACCCAAAACTAAACAGCAATTTTAAAAATATGTTAAAAACTATTTCCTGGGGAAAATATGTATTTTTAAAATATATATATTGTTATTGACTGCAGAGAGGAAGGGAGAAGGAGAGAGATAGAAACATCAATGATGAAAAAGAATCAATCATTGATTGGCTGCCTTCTGCATGTACCAAACTGGGAATTGAGCCTGCAACCCGGGCATGGGCTCTTGACCAGAATTGAACCTGGAACCCTTCAGGCCACTGCTCTACCCACTAAGCAACACCAGCTAAGGCTATTTTGTTATTCCTAAAATTCAGCCATCATACTAAAATTACACAGACTAGTAATTTAGTAAAGCACCCACCTCCAGCATCCAGGACAATGTCTACGCCCAGGCCACCTGTTTCTTCCAAACAGCTCTCAGCAAAATGGGCTTTCCTACTGGACACGTCGATCACTCGGGCTGTAAGGACAGGAAGCCAGGCTCTGTACTGCTCTGTGGTTGTCCCCATAAGTCAGAGGAAGAGAGCACACATCTGACCTTCGAAATGATTAACTGGTTCAGACAATTACTGAATCCAAATACACTTTTTTTCTCATCTAACTGATATTGGTAAGGATCAATTTAAATGAAGGGATTGACATATTCAATACACTGATTTATTGACTAAACCAAAGAGGCACCAGGTATTTCTAAATTGTTTCAAAGTTTACCTTATTCCAACTTGGCTAAGTTGATAACAATGGGACAAAGAAGAAAATATTGAAAAAATGTAGGTTTAAAAAACAAAAAAAAATTCATTAAAACTATTAAACTTAGACTTAGCACAGACACTCAGTGCATTTTAAAAGGGGCTGTGCCTTCAAAGTTTGGTTTTAAAGTCTTTGTTGTGTAGGTTTACCCACCGAGAGCAGGCCTGAGTCCTTCAAGGTACTGCTTGTCTTCAGGGCTGCCCGCCGTGGAGATCACTCGGGCCCCTCGGTGGTGTGCTAACTGGATAGCTATGGTCCCAAGTGCCTGTGGGAAATACAGACACAGGGCAGAGGCCACCTCTCAATTATTTACTGGCTGTTCAGTAAAGGGTCAGATGGTGGTGGGACTTTAGTATATTTTTAAATGTTACTTATAGCAAAAGAAAAAAATACGGACAAGGTTAGTAGTAGGATTAAACGTCTGATGGGCCTTCCTCCTCAGAAGGGGGAGAGCCGTTTGGGCCTGTGCTCTCACCCCGTCTGACCAGAGCAGTGCTTCCAAGGCGAGTGAGAAAGCGGCCTTGGTGTGAGAAAGGGCCTGTAGGATCTTGGTGTGTTTGCTGTTGGTGTAGTGTTATGTTTTTGATGATGCATGTAAAATGTTTAAATTAGCACTTATTTGAATCTATAAATGCAGCGCCTTGCTAACATGTGTAACTGTGAGGGGTATGATGGGCAATTGGTAGGGAGATCTGAGGTATGGCTCCAGAGACTTCATGAGCCATTCGGGCTTTGTGTAATAGGCATGAAAAAGTCTGTTTGCTGTTGTAATTACTAGCACATTCAAAGAAGAAACACATCAAGTCTAACTTATCTCTATGGATAAAAGCTACTTATTTTCACAAAATAGGAATTTGGTAAAAAATATAAAAATCAGTGAGTAAGCTCCTGGCAGACTTATGTTAATAATGGGCGGCCTGCCCTGCGTTTGCTGTGTGTGGCTGTCTGTGGACACACTGTCGGCACCTACACTGGCTCCATCCATGACCAGCACCCACTTCCCGGGGGCGAGCCGAGCCAGGTAATGCAGAGCCGTGTAGGCGCGCACGCCGTCCCGGACGGTCCCAGCGGCTTCTGTCCACGTCACTTTTTCTGGCTTGTGAACTGCCACAAAGAACAGGAAACAGCCCGTTAGCAAGTCCTGCGGGTCCGGGCTCCTGGTCTGGGCATTCCCCGTGCCCCCCACCGTGCCCCACCGGCATTACCCTGGTCCCGGCCTCCACTCCCCCGTTTTCCTGCCTCCACCCCGCCCTGTAAGCCCTCACCCACAGCCTCTCCCCGCCGGAGGCCGCCGCTTTGTAAATGGGGACATGACTGACATCAGAGGTCACCACCATCCTGACTTACTTTCTTACTTGCTTCCATAGCTCAGTACTCAAGTATTTATTCCTAAATATAGTGTAACTTAGCTCTGTCTGCTTTTACACTTCCTCTAGGGGCAGTCACACCCGTATGTATTATTTCCTGCCTTGCTCTTACTGCTCAGCATTGTCAGCGCACACCTGCTTTCGGTTTTCTGTTCTCCAGGGAAGAACAGCTGCGGCCAGTGCGGGGCACTGTGAACAGCTCTGGCGGGAAGATGGCGTTACCAGGCGCACACGCTTCCTCCAGGCTGTGAGCTGAGGAACAGGACCCCAGGCCCCGGCATTACCCGCCCGCCCGAAGGGCCAGTGTAAGTCTCCCTCCACACTGAGGGGCAGGCGCGGGGGAGAGGGCTGCTGCACTGCGAGAGGCATGAAAACAGCAAGACGTACTAAGCGAATGAGCACGTAACCAGTCATGTGCTACCAGCCTTGTGCTGTCAGCCTCCTTGGGGCCGTGGCATCAGTGGACATTTCTACCATCCAGTGTGAGTGGAGGCCTCTTCCTCAGACCGCAGTTTGCTTTTCCCCAATACTGATGCAGCTGAGCATCTTTCCATGTTTCCTGGCCAATTGTTCAAGTGTTTTATCAGCTTTTCTTTTTCTTATTAATTATAGGAATTTTTATGTATTCTAAATGAATTATTTATGCATTGTAAATATTATTTTCAACTTTATAGCTTCTCTTTTCAATCCTTTTAAGTGTCTTTGAAAAATAGAAACATATCAGAATGATCTTTTAAAAACATAAATAACATCCTAACACTTCTCTGTTTAGAAGTCAATGGCTTTCCACTGCATTGGGAACAAAATGCAAACTTCTAATACAACTTATTTTTACTTTAAAAAATTTTAAATTTATTGCCGAAACTGGTTTGGCTCAGTGGATAGAGCGTCAGCCTGCAGACTGAAAGGTCCCAGGTTCGATTCTGGTCAAGGGCATGTACCTTGGTTGCGGGCACATCCCCAGAAGGGGGTGTGCAAGAGGCAGCTAATTGATGTTTCTACCGTTCATTCCTCTCTCTTCCTCTCTGTAAAAAATCAATAATAAATAAATAAATTTATTGATTTTGAGAGAGAGAGACACACAGAAACATGGATTTGTTGTCCCACTTATTTCTGCATTCATTGGTCGATTCTTGTATGTGCCCTGACCAGGGGATCGAACCTGCAACCTTTGCATTGGTTAGGACGACACCCTACCCAAGTGAGCAACCCAGCCAGAGAGCTAACCATCAAGCTGCTCCTCGTATTTCATTATTTGCTTTTTGTTTTGTCTTTATTTTGTACACTGAGTGTGATCTTAACACAGTCCAGTCTCTACCAGTTCTTTTAAATAGTTTTCCTGTAAAGCCAACATCCTAATTGCTTTTACCAACAACTAGTGCCATCTAGTGGGGAAGCCAAGTATACTAGACCATGTTCAAAATCTTACAACACACAAGCAAGGCATTAAAACAGCAAAACATAAGCTAATTAGCATGTAATTAACCATGTGCTACATAACTAAGTTTGTCACCAGTGGTCACATATATGACGGTGGGATCATATAGGATCACATAAAATTATAATGGAGTGAAAAATTCCTATTTTGTAGTGACCTCTTATAAAACCCATTCCTCACCCATTCCTCACATTGTGATGCTGGAGTAAACAAACCTAGCACACTGCCAGTTACATAAAAGTGCAGCACAGCCCTGGCCGCTGGCTTAGTGGTTAGAGCACCGACACAGGGACCTAAGGGCCTCAGGTTTGATTCCCTGTCAAGGGCATGTACCTCGGTTTGTTTTTTGGCCTCAGTGGGAGGTTCGTGTGAGAGGCAGCCAATTGATGGGACTCCCTCACGTCGATGTCTCTTTCTCTCTCAAACTCTACCTCTCTAAAAATCAATGGAAAAAATATCCTCAGATAAGGATTAAAAAAAAATTAGATTCAGTGATGGTTGAATAACCTTTGAAATATATTAAAAATCACAGACTCCTGTACTTTATATGAGTGCAATATATGATATGTGGGGTAAATCTGACTGACAGGACAAGTGTGCATCCTTTTAGCCAGATTTTGACAGACCCCGATTCCTGCTCTGCCTTTAAATTCCAAAAGATGGAATCAGGAAGAAGAAGTACAGCACATACAATGTGTGAGTACACCATACTGGGAGATGGTAACAACTGTTACTGGTATAGCTGTTTGCCATTTCTTATTGTGAACTCTTTCTCCATATAAAAAAATTGCTGTAACAGAATGCTGTGTATGCCCGCAGCAGCCTCACACACCGCATGCTTACCATGCCCCTAGTGGCAGCATTTACCTGTGCTTGAGGCCATCTCATGCTGTGTACGCCCAGGAGCCATGGCTGCCTCACCACACAGCCCAGGTGTGCAGGAGGCTTGCCGTCTGGTGTGGAAGCCTTTAGGATGTTCTGTGACAGTGAACTTGCCTAAGGCCTCATTTCTCAGGCTGTATCCCTGCTGTGAAGTGGTGCATGCCTATAATTAATTTATTTTGTTTATTTTAAAAAATATATTTCATTGATTTTTTTTTTTACAGAGAGGAAGGGAGAGGGATAGAGAGCTTGAAACATTGATGAGAGAATCAGCTGCCTCCTGCACACCCCCTACTGGGGATGTGCCTACAACCAAGATACATGCCCCTGACAGGAATCGAACCGGGACCCATCCGTCTGCAGGCTGATGCTCTATCCACTGAGCCACACCAGTTTCGGCATGACTATAATTAATTTATCTGAGACCATGTGGCTAACACCTTGAGTGTTAGCATTCTGGACATATAGGGCTGATGTACAGACAGGCCATCTTGGGGGCACTCAGGTTCCTCTAACAGTGCCTGTTTAATTTACATACAAGTTACTTACATGGAATTTTGGGGAACAGATACCACCTTAATAATTGGGATTACCATTTTCATTAAAAAACCAAACAAGTGGTCCTTAAAAAATACTATCAGTAATAAAATTATATTTAAGGTCACAATAGCTCTGGAATTGCATTGTTAGATAATGCTGAATTTCCTAATGCTTTTGTACCAGTTTACACTCTTATGTGCCTAAGAGGTCCCTTTGCTGCACGTCCTTGCTGAGCCTGGAAAGTCAGATCTATAAGACTGTCCGTCCTGTGGGCATATAATGACATCGCTAAGTGGTTTTAATTTGCTTTCCCCTGATTGCTAAGGAAATGGCTTCGTGCAGTATGTCTGTGTTTATATTTATTATAAATACTCAAGTGATTACTATAAGAAAAGTTAAAAATGTACATTTCACTTAAACTGAACACTTATCAAAATATATCCGCAATAGAAACCAAAGTCAAGCATTCTTGGTTTCTTCCTGTCTCAGACTCTACATGGATTTTCTAGATTTAAAAATAATTTTATTTATTGATTTTCGAGAGAGACACTGATTTGTTGTCTCACTTATTTATGTATTCATTGGCTGGTTCTTGCATGTGCCCTTAGTGGAGACTGAACCTGCAACTTGGGCATATTGGGATGACGCTCTAACCAACGGAGCTAGCTGGCCAGGTTTAAAGTAAATTTTAAATTAACATTTCCAATTTCAATTACTAACCAAGCATAAAAATAATTTTTTTTAAAAAACTAGGAATATATAGCCGGGACCGGTTTAGCTCAGTTGATAGAGCGTCGGCCTGAGGACTGAAAGGTCCAGGGTTCGATTCCGGGCAAGGGCATGTACCTTGGTTGTAGGCACATCCCCAGTAGGGGGTGTGCAAGAGGCAGCTGGTCGATGTTGCTCTCTCATCGACATTTCTAACTCTCTGTCCCTCTCAATTCCTCTCTGTGTAAAATCAATAAAATATATTTTAAAAAAATAATAAAAAAAATAAAACTAGGAATATAATTTTAGAGATAGAAACTTCTTTTCAAGTCTCTAAGCAGGAGCTGTGTGAATGAAACTTTAAGGTCTCTGTACTGTTTATGAGTATACATTTTATGGTACTAAATTATGAAGACCAGCCAACAGTTATTTCCTGCGTACACTCACAGCAGACACAAAGAAATGACAGTGTTACTACACACAGCGCGGTGCATTACTGAGTGCCAGCCGAACCGCCACCTACCCAAGTAGTGCTCATGCACTCGCACGACTTCACAGAGTCCGGGGTCTTCGGAGTCCAGGGGCAAGATTCCTGAAAGGTAAACGCACACCTAAGGGAACGGTCTCCAAATGGATGGCGAGAGGCGTAGCCGTCTGGCTCTTGTGAATGAGTTCTGAGGGAGACCACTGGTCCCAGGTGCAGGGAAGAGGGAGACTTCAGGAATGGGGAAGGGAAAGGAAGGGGATGCTTCCTTTTCTGACAGGAACATGACACCACCCGGGCGCTCTCTCTCTTTCCTTTTCTCCTTTCTTGGCTCCTGGGAGGGTGGGAAGACGATGGCTGATCTACCACAGGCAAGTCAGTCTTGAGGACCTAGGTTCCTCACTAAAAGTGGCCCTGATGCCCAGCTGCCTGCCATGGCTGGGGTGGCACAGCGGTTGTCAGCGCTGGTCCCGGACCCTGGTGGTCAGTGAGGTCCGAGAGGCTGGAGATGGCTGGTCTAGGAGATACCTCAGTGCTCCCAGTGGAATCCTTTCTCCTTGAGCTCGTCTGGTTTTATGTGGGGCTTTTACAAACAGAATATTGAGCAATAGTGACACTGACCTCTTGGCCAGATAAGAAAGATAAGACAGAAAAAATTAATTCTTCAAGAAAATACATGCCAAAGGCAGTATCGTAAGCAGCTAACGGAAACATTCCGACAAACCTATTCTTAACACCTCAAGCATGCCAGAAAGTTAACCATTTCCTAAATTCACATGAATATCTTTCTATGGATATTTCATTTGGAGAAGTGGTAATTTTAAAGACTAGCACTAAAGTCATACTTTATGTCTGTGTGATGGTCTAGGTCTAGGATATACGTAAAGTGTGTGTGTGTGCGCGTGCGCGCGCACAAAATAGTATTAACTATGGGTTTAAAAAGACAGCGAATGAAATGTTACCAGTAAATTCTAGTTTTACAAGAATACGAGGGAGAGGCCCCGTACAATTCAAGCTGAGGTGCAGAGGAGCTTCTGTAGAGCCAGGTTGCTCATGCGGATGACCCATGACCTTTCTCCAGAGCTTTCGGTCTGGCCGTAGACTGAGGTCTTGCCAGCGAAGGGCTATGCCAAGCACAGTAACAGCTATGTCCTCCTTTTTACCTCTGCTACTGTTCTCCACCAAACACGGAAACCTTTTCCATGGCCTGCTACTGAGCTCAAACTCCCAATTCTCTTCATCAATGGACTTTTGAGAGCAAATTCCAAAAATCGGGAAAGTTTTTGTATATGAAGCAAGGTCACAATAAACAATTGTACAGAGAAAAGAAGAGATGATAGTATAATAGACAACTTACCGACTACTTCATCACCAGGTTGAAAGAATGATACCTTACTTCCAACTAAAGCATAGAGAAAATTAATAATTAATATTATGAGGTTATTAAATATAATTCTTATTTAACTATGAAAAGAAAATGATCCATGGATTTATAAAAAGTTACCAACTCAGAGAAAAGGCCAAGAATGTGCAGGACATTTTGATGGTCTATAGAGACTGTTGGATAGAACACTTCAAATTTGGATTCTCATTCTAGCCAGGTTGCTCAGTGGTTAGAACATCATTCACTATGCCGAGGTTTGAGGTTTGATTCTTGGTTAGGGCACAAACAAGATCCAACCAATGAATGTATAAGTAAGTGGCACAACAAATTAATATTGCTCTCAATCAGTAATTTTTTAAAAAAATAACAGATTCTTTACAAATTTTTCTATAAAATCTGGGCTATGTGGCTGTTGACAGCATAGAGAAGAATGACTCTCTATTTAGGATTAAGGAATAAAGGAAAACAGCCCACCTTTGAGCTTAAACCACACACTGCTCACTAGGTATCTCCAGGGGATATCACTCAGGTACCTGAGCTCAGCGACATAAACATAAACTCCCGCCTTCCTCCCAGTAGAATCCTCTTCCTCATCAGTCCTTGGCTTAGCCAGAATCCGGAGTCACTCCTGGCTCCTGCCTGTGTCTGATGCCCCTGTCCCAGCAGTTACTAAGCCAGGCCGACTCACTGCCTCCGTATTTCTTGTGTATGTACGCCTTCTTCACCTGTGCCCAATGCCTCGATTATGGACTCCGTTGTCTCCTGGCTGTTGGTCTACAACCCAACCAGCCCTCCCACCTTCCCGAGAGCCTGGGCTGCCTGCACGCTGCCCTTCATGTGGCTGCTGATAACCTCCCGACAACCCAGGCTGACACGGAGGCGCTACGTGGGTCTGGCCATTGCCTACCCTCATGCCTCGTTTGCCCCATTGCTTTTTAAAATATATTTTATTGATTTTCCACAGAGAGGAAGGGAGAGGGATAGAGAGCTAGAAACATCAACCAGCTGCTTCCTAGGGGGTGTGCCCGCAACCAAGGTACATGCCCTTGACCAGAATCGAACCTGAGACCTTTCAGTCCGCAGACCAACACTCTATCCACTGAGCCAAACCAGTTTCGGCCCCATTTCTTTTTAATCTCATCTGAGGATGTGTTTTTTTTTTTTTTTTTTTTTTTTTAATATATATTTATTGATTTTTTTCATTGAAGAAGGGAGAGGGATAGAGAGCCAGAAACATCGATGAGAGAGAAAATCGATCAGCTGCCTCCTGCATGCCCCCTACTGGGGATGTACCAGCAACCAAGGTACACGCCCTTGACCAGAATCGAACCCGGGACCTTTTAGTCCCCACGCCGACGCTCTACCCACTGAGCCAAACGGTCAGGGCGAGGATTTTTATTGATTTTAGAGAGAGAGACAAAGGGAGGGGAAAAAAACATTGATGTGAGAGAAATATCAATCAGTTGTCTCCTGTACTCACCCCAACTGGGGTCGAACCCAAAACCTCGGTCTGCACTCTGGCTGGGACTTGCACCTGCCACCTCTAGGTGCATGGCACCTGCTCAACCAACCGAGCCACCACCAGGCCGTCTCCTCGGTCCGGGGCAGGCGATCAGTGTCAGGATCATCACGAAGCATCGGTCACTGTCTCACTCGCTGAGTGAATTCTCTGGACAAGATGTGTCTGCCGAGTGCCTTAGCCAACACCAAACTCTGCCATTCTTCTCTTCCTCCTTGCCTGCACAGACCCTGCCTGAGGGCCCTCCCTGAGCGCTCCCCTGCCTGCCGCACTTCCGTCACTCCAGGGAGCTTCTGTCTGCTCGCTCTGGGCCACTGTCCTGGCACCTGTGCTCAGGCCTCCACGTGCTCCCCTCACGTGCCCCTGTCCCTCCCTACAGTGTGAACACTTCGTTTTGGCAATCCAGAAAAATATTAGAGGATATTTTCCCCAAGTGAGGTGGGGGGAAAGAGAGAGGCGGGGGGAGATGTGAGAGAGACATATAGATAAGTTGCCTCCAGCATGTGCCTGACCATGCGGGGGTTGGGGGGGGTGGTTGGGGGCAGAACCTGGTGCACAGGCCAATGTGCTAACCACTGAGAACACAGCCAGGGCTAGATTATGGATCCTTTGAGGGTAGGGACTCTGTCTTATTCATCTTCAGGTACCAAACACTTAGCAAGTGCTCACTGAATGTGAAATAAGTGAGTAAATAAATGATTACTCGACTTCTGGCCATTATAACTCTTATTTTTATTTTCCTAAAGAGTGAGTAGAAGAAAGGAGAGGGAATGAAATTATGATTTAGGTGTTAGAAGATTACATTGAGGAAGAATCAAATATATTATGGGTTAAAATTACAGGCAAAACTCCAATAGTCTAACCCACGGCATGCCCTGCTCATTCCCTCACAGGCAGAAAGAGCAGCCATATCCTCCCTGAGCATCAACTACCCATTAGCACTGCATAGGAATGGTGGCTATTTAGAAAAATTCTTTCATGTACTTAGCTTACTGTACTGCATGTTAAGACAATTATTTACTAAATAAAACTTAACAATTTTTTTACTTAAGGCAATCATCAAATATTACTGGTTATTTCTCCCCAGAACCCATTTTTATTAATTAATTTATTAATTAAAAAATAGATATATTATTTATTTTTTTACAGAGAGAAGGGAGAGGGATAGAGAATTAGAAACATCGACGAGAGAGAATCATCGATCAGCTGCCTCCTGCACACCCCCTACAGGGTTTGTGCCCGCAACCAAGATACATGCCCTTGACCGGAATTGAACCTGGGACCTTTCAGTCCGCGCAGACCAATGTTCTATCCACTGAGCCACACCGGTTCAGCTTAAAAAATATTTTTATTGATTTCAGCGAAGAAGGGAGAAGGAGAGAAAGATAGAAACATCAATGATGACAGAGAATTACTGATCAACTGCCTCCTGTACGCTCCCTACTCGGGAGGGAGCCTGCAACCTGGGCTCTGACCTGGAATCGAACCCTGACCTCCTGGTTCATAGGTCGATGCTCAACCACTGAGTCACCACAGCCAGGGCAGAACCCATTTTTAATCAGCTTAACAATAACCCACAACCTTCGGACCAACTAGAACCCATTTTTAGATGAGCAAACTGCTTACCTTTTAAATGCTCAATTTTACACAAACTTTAAAATTTAATGTCAATGTAGTTACTATTATATAAATTTGGGCCAAAACCCAATGTACAGAAGAAATCTGTGCTGATTTGGAAACAATATTCTATTCAGTATGATTGCTGATAGATTGAAATATATAATCCCTAAATATTTACTGAAGTATAATAAGCTGTTTAATTATAAAACACCAGTTATTTTTCTTTTTTCTTTTTAATTTAAATAGGAAAACATTTCTGTATAATTACATTTCCTATTTGAAGACGAGTGTGTGATTTTGTGTGCCAGTTCCCAATTGGCTGCCATGTAATTCTTCTACCAGAGAAAGTAGATACAGGTGTTTACATCTGGAAACTTACCATCTAACACAACTCCAGCGATTTCTCTCCCGACAGGAAAGAAATCCTTCTCCATCTTCATTTCCGCCAGAAGCTAAATCATGACAAAGGCTATTTATTGTCAAAAATAAACTCTGGCTTCTAATACTGGAGGAAAGCAAGAGCACAAATCAAACCACAAGAAAAGCAAATATGACTCAATATTTGGAATAAAGACAAAGCAAATCACTTCACCAGAGGTTTCTTGTTGAGTAAGAATTAGTTGTTAGGTAGGAACTGGGTGTGAGTATCATTATTCCAATCACCGCTAACACACTGTTTAACATCTTTCTTCTTCTGAGTCTGAAGGGAAATCATGGCCCAGATTTACCGGTCAGCCCCTTAGCTGGGGGAGGGAGGTGGAAGGGTGCTGTGAAGGAGGGGCTGTGGCCACTGAGAACAAAGGCTCTCCTCTCCTTCCCAGCCTGTAAGGTCCCCTGAGTTTTGTCTTCCTTAAGAAGCAGGTGGAAGGGCTGATGGATATAATTAGGAAAATTGCCATCTATTTTCAATTTGGAATTTTTAAAAAAGAATAAATCATATATTTTTGAGAGATTAGTGTTTTGTTAATCTTCTGGCCAAACCAAGCCCTTGCCTTTTGAAGTGACAGAGCATATACTGTACAGATAAGCCTGTCGCTTAAGTTCCTGCCGTTTAAGCTTTTATAATGATACCAGAGCCATGGGACATGCTTGTAGGTATCATAGTATTTTAGGAACAGTAAATAAATAGAATTGGAAGTCAGTCTCCTGTATTTTTTTTTTAATCTTTCAATATTTAGATCTCCTATATAAGATCATCTCCATATACCTGGTTGCCGGAAACATCTTTCAATGTGGAACTTTGTACTTTTGCTAAGATGACACTCGGAGAAATGCTGGATGTTGTACATGATTTCTTTCTATGTGATCTTTTATGCGCTCTCCCTCAGAGCTGCCATCACGGCCACAGCACTGCCTCCTGCTGCCGTCACCTCCTTAGCATCTGGCACATCACTGCACAGTCTTACGCCGTGATGATGAGAAGTTGTGCAATATTTCCTTGAATTCACTAGACTTTTCCTGTTAGACATGAGATAATTTCCTAGACTCGGATTTCCACTTTTTTCCAATTGCTGTATCTTCTACATGTTTTTCTTGCTTTTTTGCACCTTCGAGGCCTCCGGTACCCCAGAGATGTTGAAGAGGTTGTGACAGAAGCCCCGTTTGTCCTTTCCTTTCCTGTGCGTAGACGGGGATGTTAATGAACTTTTCGTAGATCAGAAAGGACGCCGTGCGAGGGCTGGGCACAGAACGTGCGGCCCTCCATTCCTCTCGCAGGTGCAGGGCCCCTTCCCTCTAGGGCGTGCTCCGGGCACAGCGCAGCCGAGGGACGCACATGGCTTCGTCCTGTGATTTCCCTACATGCGGCTTCACCGCAGAAAACTTCTGGATTCCGAGGAATGATGGTGGCATCGCACTCCGGTCATTTAAGGGCCCATAAAACTCTGGTGTTCACTTCTACAGAACAGAGTGAACGGCCCTGCTATATGTCATCGCACACCAGCCACGGTTTACCACTTGAAAACTCCCCATGTGTTTCATGGTCAGTAATGGTAGTGAGAGGCTGGGGGTGTGTATGCAGGAGAGAAGACACAGAGAAATGTCTGTCTAAAGATGCTAACTAGAAATATCTAAGAATAGACAGTTAATAAATTAGTTGATTCAATTTCTATATTTTTACTATGTTTATAAAGTTGATTCAATTTCTATATTTTTACTATGTTTTCTTCCTTGACTATAGGCCTTAGTAATTATAAATTCTCAGCCTTTTACAATGTAAAGGAGCTAATAAGTTGTTTTCCTGTAATAATATAAACTTCATGACTTCAATTAGACTAATATCTTAATATGGAAACATACAAATTCACACAAACTTTCCCCCTAGCTGTTCTATTCTAAAGATGACAACAATTTCTTGGCACTCAGAGTAATTTATCATTATATTAGTACACTAAATAGACTATGAATTCTCATCTGACTTTTGACCCAAATAAAAGCACCAATACCTTTGTATTTATCTGGCTCAGAGCACAAGCTTTAACTTGCAGTTTCACATAATTATCCTCAGCAACAGGAAGGTTTTCCTAGAAGCAATGAAAACAGAAATGAACAACACATTCATCTGAGCCCAGGCCTTTATGATGTGAAAATTTTCATACACAACCGAAAAAAATTAGCCAGGCCCCAAATCTAACGTTAGGGATGAAAACTAAAAGCTATTTATATGCCATACTTATATATTCCAGAGTTTAACAAGGATTTGGGAACCATGAACACAATCTGGTTTTCCTCTGTCATCTTTTACTAACTCCCAAAATCACGTAAGTCAAGGGTCAAAATCTCAGACAGCTTGCTTCTACTACGGGAATGATTTTGGCCTGCAACAAACCTTTCAAACAATCACCAATATGTGAAAATTCCACTAGCTATGCTTAAAGTGGAAAAAGCCCACCTAGTAGAAACCATTTAAAGCTTAGTGAATAAGGTAACTTTGCAAAGCTCAGAAATTAATGTGGAAAACAATACTTTTCCACCTCTTTTATTTCTCAGAGTAAAGAGAATGTATTTTCTGAAATATGACTACAATCTGGAAATTTACTTTATTGTGGTGTTCAAAATAAGTTGAGTTAATTTTGCAACATATAAGACTATTCAGGTTGTATTGTTTTCCTAGTATCTTTTATACTACCACTCACAGGACTAAAAACTTTTGTAGCAACTCTTTTAAAAATATACTTATACTACAATATGTTACCACTGTAACATACAATTGAAGGAAAGTAATTTTTAGAGTTTTGTTTAAGTTTCACTAACAGATCGTTTAAACTGGGTAAATATACGTATCTTATTTCATTTAATGATTAAACAATTTTTCTCACCCGTTCTTGAAAAACAAATGTTATTTTTTCATTTGTAGAACTCTGTTGAAAATATAAGCCTTTCATAGTCACCTAAAGCAAAACAAAAAAAGAAAAATACATATACATGAAACAAACCAACAAAAGGTCATCTATACCAAATGAAAGCAAAAATTGAAAAATAGTGCTGGCAAAGGATAAAATGACAACTATCAATGTAGTTTTCACATAAATACACTTCGATAATAGTGCTTGAAAGTGATCACAGGAGTGAATGTGCCATCTTAGCAGACGTACTTGGGGGAGGCGGGGAAACCGGAGAGGTTCAGAGAGCAACTGGAATCACCAAAGGTGTCACTTATAAAGCGCTCTTGTCCCACATGTGAAAAAAGACCGTCCAAAAGGCAGCCAGGCTCAGGCGGCTGACGCACCGCCCCACACCGCGAGGCTGTGGGTGATTCTGGGTCCAGGCCAATGGGAGACACACACCCGTCAATGTTCCTCTCGCACACTGATGTTTCCCTCCCTTTCTCTCTCTCAAATCCATAAAAACATACCCTTGGGTAAGGATCTAAAAAGAAAAAAGTGTCCCATCAAGACATGGAGACGGTGCCCCCAATTCTTCTGTAACCGGAAGTGTTTGAATCTGCAGTCTGTGGATTCTGGAGCACATGGAAGGACACCAGTTGTTTCTTTAATTTTCATAACTTTATGAAAGACTATCTTATTTATTTTATTTTAGAGATAGAGGAAGGGAGACGGGTAGAGAGAAACATTAGCTGATTGACTGGCATGTGCCCTGACCAAGAATCACACCGGTGACCTTGTGGGCACAGGATGGCGCTTATCAATCAGCCACTAACCAGGCCAGGACGATTTTCTTTTTCTTTTTCAAATTCTCACCCATTGATTTAGAGAGTGAAAGAGAGGGACAGACAGAGAGAAATATTGATGTGAGAAGAAACACATTGTGGTTGCCTCTCGCGCCCTGGCCACGGTCTGGCTGGGATGGAGCCTACTACTGAGGTACTTGCCCTTGACCAGAATCAATCCAGACCCTTCTGACGCTCTATCCACTGAGCCAAACTGGCCAGGGCTGTTTTCTAACGTGTAAATTTACAGGTGAGAACAGCGCACACGGGGCGTGCAGAGGCCCTACGGCACAGCCTGCTGATCTCTGCGCTTCTGCTCCCGCCTGCTCCCCACATCCCCCCCGGGAATACCCAGCACAGCGTCCCCGTCTGTTTCATTTTGTTACGTTCCCTGTGTTCATTTCTCTTTCTCAGCACATGTTTGTCTCACCCATGGTTGCTGATAGCTGGAGCCTATTCATGGCAAGACATTTCCAACGGCACCATCTTAGCTGTAACGGCAACGTGAACTCTACTTGCCCTCCTGCTGCATCAATCCCCGAGGAGCTCATCTATTAATAACTGTAAACAAAGCCTCTACAGACCATCCCTCACCCACACCTGCAGACCAAGGTGTTCTGAGGATCAGGTCAACCTCACAGTCAGGGGACACAAACTGGACTCATCTTTCTCCAAAGGAGACTTTGCTGGCCGTTCAGTCACCACGGACATCTGAGTGTCTGTCACAAGTCCCTCCGCTGCGTGAAGTTATGGACCACCGACCTTCCCTTCTCTTCTGAGATCTCAGCTCCCCTGCTCGCTTTCTGTCCTGATGGGTGTTAGCACAGCTGGTGTGCGAGGTTAGTGCAATTCCCGAAAGTCCGACTCCACATACTCAGATTTCTACTGTCCCCGACACAGACTGTAATACTGCGGCCACTCCCGCTTCAGGCTCAGCTCTGAGATCTCTAACCCACCCTCGTCCTGTTTCCAGGAAAGCGTAGATTTCGCCAAGCAGCCAGGCTCCAGACAACAGGAACCAGTTGTCCGGTGTGGCCAGAGCCCATGGCGGTGCCGGGACGGGCGGCAGCAGGACAGAGCTGGAGGGAGAAGTCTTCGTTCACACTGAAGAGGTGGCTCAGTGCTAAGGTGGTTTTTTTATTGACTGACTTTAGGGAGAGAGAAACGGGGGAGAGGGGACAGAGGGAGAGAGGAAGGAGAGGAAGGGAGGGAGGGAGAGAGAGAGAGAGAGAGAACACGAACCATGGATTTCTCGTTCCACATCCTTATGCATTCATTGGTTGCTTTTTGTCCGTGTCCTGACCTGGGATTGAACTGCAACCTTGGTACATCAGGGTGACACTAACCAACTGAGCCGCCCAGCAGGGCAATATTAAGTTTTAATAGTGTTCTCACTAATCTGTGAGGCTTTTCATACATATCCCCATAGCCGGTACAGCCCTGTGCCCAAACATTTGGTGAAAAAATGAGGTCAGCAAATCAAAGTAGCGGGAGGCTTGTTTTAAAGGCCACCCATCACGGGTGGTGAAGCATGTACTCCTCGCTTCTCCGCGTGCCTTCACGGAGGACTCTACACTGCGCAGGCGACGGTCTCTGGAACCCCGTCCACTCTGGGGGCACTTTGCGTGGCATCGAGCAGAGATGGGCACATGAGATGATCACAGGAGACACGAGAGAGGTTCACACTGGCTGGCCCTAGGAAGCGTTTCCAACAAGACAGCATGTTGGAAGGACCTTTATGTCCCCTTTTGGTGTCTGAATTCCATAGGAAAATGCGTGAGCTTGCAGGGTCCCTGGTACTGGAGGGACCTGCAGACACTGGACACGTGCTGACAGTGGCATTGGCCGAGGGGAGAGAGGGCTGCGAGGGCCACAGTAAGTCCTCTCTATTAGACAACCTAGGTTCCTGTGAGCATTAGCAAGACACTCAGCTGAGCTTACATGCCTGGGGCAGAATCTTTGTCTCTCACACAACCTTAGATGGAAAGACAGGTGAAGAACTAGGAAGGATAATTTTTCCTTTTTGACATAGGCTTTAGGCAGAAGCAAAAAAAAAAAAAAAGGCTTTTGCTTGCCGATGTCAAATCGCTGTCTATCTGCAGCTTCAAACACGTCCGTCCAAAACAGAGGCTCCCAACGGCTTCTGAATCTCAAAAATTTCTTCAATAACTCTCTTGCCTCCAGAGAGCGTAACTGTTAGGACTTACTGACCTGCACCTAGGGTATTATTGGAGGCATTCCCCTGCCAGTACCTCTGGGGGTGCTAATAGGTGGGTTGGGGGTGGGAGGGTCATTATCGTAAGGAACGGAAATGTTTGGCCCAGTGCTAGTCAATATAGAATCCCAGAACAGAAACGTAACTTCCATTTCTCTGAGTTAGCATCACGTACTCCTCTGGTGTGCCATGGAAACAGTGGGCCAATGTGGTGATGAGTGACAGCTTCTCCTTATGCGACCACGTGACCCTGCGACCCCGCGGGTGATGAGGAGAGATCTCAGCATCTGCCGGATCTCCCACTTTCTACCCCGCTTTCCCTCCTCCCCACTGACTTATCAGTTTGCTCCACTATTGTTAATGCAGCGTGTAAATGCCTACTGAATTTTTCAACTCACCACAGAATCTTTAAAAATATTTATCGATTGATTTTAGAGAGAGAGGACAGGAGGGAGAGAAAAGTAGAGAGAGGGGAAAGAGAGAGAGAGAGAGACACTAATTTGTTGTGTCACTTATTATGCCCTCCCACATTCATAGGCTGATTCTTGTCTGTGCCCGATGAGAATCGAACCTGAAACCTTGGTGAATCAGGGCGCCGCTCTTACCAGCTGAGCTGCCCCACCTGACCTCACTACAGCATCTTAATGAAACCATATCTTGCTTCAGATGCAAGATAGAAGTTGCAATTTTGATTAAATATTTACTAATAAATTCACAATCGAGAGAAATCTACAAAATGTCAAATTTATTGTAATGTAAAAGTTAGAAGAAAATTATTTTGCAAAAGACCATATTTTAGCATGTGTGGCTCTATGTATTTTTACTCTTCTATTCACAAAATCTCTCCTTAGTTCTAAGTTTATTGCGTCTAGAAAAATCACTAGTAAAGTTGTCTTTGAAATATTCTATATGAAGTTCACATGAGCAAGAAAACATTAATTTTTACCAATTAAAAAATGATTTCACCAAAAACAAACAAAACACACCATGATTCCATAGTGAAACATTTTAAGAATTCCTAAATGTTCCCATCTTTACGGAGGTTCACAAATGAATCAAGATGCAATACAGCTGCCCAAGGTACAGAGCCTCTCCAGAAGCCTAAATATCAATATCTCTATGTTTAACACTCTTCTTCAGTCTAGAACTTTGATGTTGAATACACAGCACTGAGAGTTGTAAAACTACCAAAATATTTCAGTGCAACTGAAAGGCAACCTGACCTTATGCAGGGAATCCTGTTTCCAATCTGAACACCTCATCCCGGCCATAAACTGGAGCGGAGGCATCAATGACATGGCCTTAGTGACAGAAGATAGGAACTGTACCCGGGCGGCTGACAGGATTTAGAAACCATAACTGAGAGTCTGAATCCTGGTTCTTCTACCTGCTAGCTATATGACTCTGGGCTACCTAATTTTAACCTTCAGATCTACAAATCAGAGGTGGTAGTTATTTTTTTTGTTTTTATGAAGCACATTCTTTTTTTAATTTATTGATTTCCCACAAGAGAGGAAGGGAGAGGGATAAAGAGCTAGAAACATCCATGAGAGAGAAACATCCACCAGCCACCTCCTGCACACCCCTCAACGGGATGTGCCCGCAACCAAAGTCCATGTTCTTGACAGGAATCGAACCTGGGACCCTTCAGTCTGCAGACCGACGCTCTATTCACCGAGCCAAACCGGTTTCGGCTCAGGGGAAGTGGTTAGGACAAGGGTTGCAATAAGGAATAAGTGATATGTGCAAAGCACCCTCTAAACAAGCGTTCAGTGAGGGCTGGCCGTTGTTACTGTTACTTCTGTACGTTGGGCAGAGAACCTCAGAGTGGTCCTGCCGCCCATCTCAAAAGGATCGGTCACACGCAACGCGAGCCTGAACAGCGTGGAGTGTTTGCAGGGGACAACCGCCTCGCACCCCTGGGTCTGCGCGGCCCAATGAGGAGGCCGCGGGCCGCAGTGTCTGGCGGGAATTAAGACGCGCTGAAAATGTAATAATAT